AAGTACTGGGTAAAGGGACACAGTGGATAGGAACTCAATAGTTTTGTCATCAATTTAGACTTTAAATTCATTGCACCATTGACACAGACTGCAGCTCCAGAGGTTCTTTTTCTGAGACCCATCAATTTACTGAGTTGGGCTGAACCTATTTAGTATACTGAATGTTGCTTCTGCTCCATACCTACAGGAAGCTTGATAAAAGCACCAAGAACCAACAAGCTGGTATAAGCTGCAACAAGGTGATTTCACTGACTGTACGGATGCAGCAGAAACTTCAGAGCATCATGACAATGTGTAGTTAACTCCTGGTATCTGAGGAGTTATTTTATGGAGAAGTTCTGAGTCAAGGTGGCAGACACTCATACTGTAGCACTCCTGAACATACATGCATGCAAGAATGATTTTGTTTATTTAAAGACAAAAATAGGACACCATCAAAACAGGTTAGTAGAAGAGTTACAATAACACATTGTGTATTGTTGTCTTTATAGTAGTTATTCAGTGTATAATATATAGGCATGATATCTTTTGCAGACTATATTAGCATAAATGTTTTCAAATAGCAAATATTGAGCTGAGTCAAATCTTTGTAAGTCCTGGCTTTTCTCTACTGGGTTGTATAGAAAACATCTGGGATGGAAATAGATTCCATGTACTAACAGGAGCTAGCTGTACAATTATATTAACCCTGGTGTTTCTTTTTCCCTTCTTGTTCCCTATCAGTTTGATTTTCTTTTGAACAGTGCTTAATCTGGTAAAGGAAAGTGGTCTTGAGGCCAACCTCCAAGTGAAACATTATGAGTGCTAATATTATCCTTTATGAGAGGGGAGAAATATGCGTCTCAGTGGAGATAAAAAAGATATCAATGTATTCCCACTGCACAATTTCCTAAAGACCTGATCAGTGCTAGCAGTGTTGGAGCAGTCTGCCACATTTATTCATTTATGCTTGCTTTGTTTGCATTCAGGCTGCTTCTCTGCATCACAGGGAGGCTAAATCCACCATCTCTATTATCCAGTATTCTGGACTATGCTCTTCCCCAAAGCTCCTCCCTGGATGAATCATCAGGACCTCATCTTGTTGTAGCTTTTACTTTTGTCCAGTTTTGGAGAGCTTCATCCCCTGAAACATTTCCATCAGTGCTGTTCAGAGGGCAGAGGGCTGTCAGACTCACATTTCAACTCACCTGACTCAAGGTAGCCCTAGTGAGTGGAGTAGCAGTTGGAAAGAGCCACTATGTCCCACAGGGATTTGGTCCTGAACAACTAAGTGGAATTGCACTCTGCTCTCCTCCTGCTTGGATATCAAACCTCTGAGAAGGTCTAAGGGTGGTAGTGAAACCATGAAACCATCCTGATGGTGAGATGACCAGGTCTTCATGACTTTTAAGTGTTTCATAATTTGGCCTCACTGGAGAATCACTTTCTTCCTAATGATTTATTGTTCATGAACATCTAGACTTAGGAGCTGCCTGGTCAACAGACAGCCATGCTGCTGATGGCTCTTCAGTGCTTGATCAATTCAGTTAAATGCAGTACCAGCATTGCTTTCTGCCAGTCCATGAATTTAAGAACCATCATGAAAGCAGACTGCTTAAACACAGTACGGTACAGAAAATATAAGCACTGAGTGAAACACAGTTCGTATATTGGACCAGGACTCACATGGAATTTGGATTGGTACCAAATGAGCAGTGATATTTGGAGGAAGATGCTAGGATGGCTAACAATGCCTTTCATTATTGAACAGATTCAATGAGCTTCAAAGCTATCAATGGCAGAACTACAGACAGTGGCTATTCTTTTCTCTATAACTTCCTCCAGTGTGTTTCTGGGTTGACCATGGCCAGTAGTATCTTTGATGTCATCAGGAAGCTACATTAAGATTCACAGAGGGATGATTTTTAGAAAATGGCAGAGGCACCTCAGTACTGGAGGATTTGCAAATCCCTTTAATCCACTAGCTTTCATGTGCATCCGATGACTGCACAGAACACTCTGTATCCTTCAAGATCTCAAATCATCCAGCCTTTACTTCCAGTTTCATGTCAGGCTATACTAACACACAGCTTGAGTATACCTTACATTTCCAAGCATACTTTATTCACACTCGTGATTGCCAAGCCTTAGGGTAGCACTATGGATGTCTCAAGCATGATACATTTTATATACATGTTTTCCTAGCTGGACACCAGGCACACTGAACTTCTCCTAGATTTCAATAGTGCAGTTAAAATATCTTAACTCACTGAATGGGGAAATGGGAAACAGTAGTGGAAATCAAAACCGTTCCCAGCACAAGCAGGATATCATTTAGCACACACTTTCAAGCACAGCTCCAGCAGGATGCTCCTCATATCACTATGTTCCTGATGAAGTCAGCTCAAGATGCTGGATTCTTTCAGCACCTAGGAGTCATTCTCATTTTTATTTTGTCTTAAAATGTCACCATACAATAATTTGCTTCTTAGTATGGCCAGTGTTGTAGACCTCTCACTCACGAGAATTGCTACAGTAACACATGTGGCCATAAACTTGGCTAGGATGAAATTTCCACTAGCCCCAAGGACTTTCAAGCTCATCTTTTCAGACAATGTATTTAAATAGCATCTTTAGAGACATTGATCTGGATATGTGCTGGATGACCATGAGTTTTGAGAAAAATATCTTGGCCTCAAAGAAGGCAGAAACATGTCAAGAGTAACTTGCAGGGGATTTGCAAAGCATCAGCACCTCTTATTGACAATCTCAGCTACAGATTTGTGATTAGTTAGCTCAATGTACATTTAGACATATTTAGAGGCTGTTACATGATTTAGTTTGTGAATGTCTGATTAGCACCCAGGATCAGAGCTTGGAGACATTCTGGAGAAATTTCCTGCGTCATTTGAAAATATCAAATTCAACACAGGGATTGCTATGAGTTGCCTCAAAATCCTTGATACTAGCCTAGGACACAAACTGATATTTCTGTCCATTAAAAATTTACTCAAAATATTCTTTGCTTACTTTGTCTCAGAAGCTTCTAATATAAATTCCCCGCACTAAGGACATAGTGTGATCTATACCAGTCACCCATAGGGTTGTGTCCTCTCTCCCTGCTGTACAGGGCCCCAAATAAAACCTGTGAAGCTTCACAACTACATGGGGGCAGTAGAAAGTGACACAACCATAACTGATGTGGCACAATGGAGCAGGACAGTACATTCCACGTGTTTAAGAAATGCCACTGTGAACTGAGTTAGAGAGGAACAATTCCCCCAAGGGGTGTTATATACATTCAACATCTGGTCACGCTCAAATTCCCACTGTATGAACCCATGTACTTACAGAGGCCAAAACAGTCCAGACACTGGATGCAGAGCCTGTGGTCACAGTATCTTGCAGTCTTAAACGACCACACTAAATGGTCCATCTGGACTTAAGGAAAGTTGCCCAGGATGTGGACCTCAAGTTGCATCTCTATTCCTCACAGTCACCTCTGTGGTGACTATGAGAGTTGTCTTCTCCTTTATCTCCATTTCTTGCCTAAAGCCTTTGAAGAATTGGGATCAAGATTTTTGAATTGTCACTCAGAGACCTCTGCTACAATGGAACATAGCCAGGGTGCCTGGCTTCTGTTCAGTATCATGTATGTAAAACACAGCACCTCTACTTAACGCACTGTGAAAACCCAAGAAAAAACTCCCTGGACAGGCAGTGACACTGTCCTTGCTTCTGAATCTTTGCTCCATGCTCTGCTGTAAGAGAAAGCCAGCTACTGGACGTCACTCGTGGTTTCCAGCCTTCCATGTGCTGCTGACACTCTCTGGCTTGTTCCTCCTGCGTACTGACAAAATACTCCTCTGATGTCTTCTGCAGTTGGAGTTCTAGGACCCTTCTCTGGATCTTTTTCCCTATTAACCCTCACTATCCTGCCTTTGGCAGGCTGTGTCAGGGAGGACCACTGTATCTAAGCTTGAGCTACTTCGACTCAACTCTGTACTCACCTAGCTTCCTGGCTTCCAGCAGGTGTCAAAGTGGGTTGCATGAGATGTCCAGGCAGATTAGGGAGTAGCTGTGGGGTCAGGGAACTGTGTATGGCCTGAAGGCACTCAAACTCCTTCCTGTAGTTGTTGTTGCTAGAGATCAGTGTCCTCACAGAAAAGGAGCTCTCTTCCAGTGGTACCAAGTTCCTGTGGGACACTAAATTGTGCATGGCCAGATCATTTGCTTTCTGGACTCCCTAATACAAGAGTAGCCATTCAAGATAATGGAAAGCACAGCGCTTGTGTGGCTAGTACAGATGCTCTAGGATCACACACTACATTGCGAGCATACTACATGTGTGTGCTAGAAATGCTTGTGGGTCACTGTCAAATGCTGTTACTTAAATGTCAGATAGTTTGTCCTGTTCCAATTCCATGTGATACAGGGAAACATAAGGAGCAAGAGTTTTCAGACTTTTATACACAGTGCTATTCCATGAGGCAGGTGGAAGGTGTCTACCAAAACAGGCTTGATCACTTCCTGCTGATCACTTTCTGAAACAGTGAATGAGACAGGTGGCTAATAAGCATCTGATTGTGGTGTCTGAGGCAGATGTGCAAATTCCTTCTCGGGTAGCCTGAGGTGTACACAGCATGACTGTCTGTCTCTGGCCCTGACTCCATGCTTCGTAGGGGAGCATCCATATGAGACACCTTCCACATATAGTGGCATAGCAGGCCATTCCTATATCCAACAAGGGTGAGCCACCATGTTTCCCACTTACCTCTTGTGAATACAGAGCACAGGAGGTTTGAATAAATCTCCACAGGGAATAAACTGGGAATCCCTCTTTCCCATGAGTGTCATAAGAAAGTGAATGGACCATGATCCTTCTAGTCTATGATCAGGAAACTAAACCTTGTTTTAGAGAGATGTCTCACTGTGGTTAAGCACTAGAAATCCAAGCAATGATAGTTCAAAACCTGGGTACTAGACTCAAGTGCCCCATTTTATTCTGATCCTGCCTGCAGGACTCAATGGACAACTTCACCTTCACCCTAGGCAAAGATGAGAAGAAACCTCACCACTGGATTACAGTGGGCCCAGCAGGACCACATTGTGTGTGACTACCATTGGAAGACCCTCTGCCTTGTGATGAGTGTGCCACCACCAACTACATGACAACCAAGGGAAATGAAATTTGTGCAGAAAGACCATTCCTGGTGCCATGACTGCTTCTGTGTCACCTGTGACCATATTCAGCTTCACTTTTCCTGAGATTCCCTAGGTCTTGTCCAAGTCAAGCAGTGTTCAGAAGCTGCAGGATTCAGAGGTTGCAATTCAAAGCCCTGATTTATGTATAGAAATAAGAGGACTTCATAGGTACAAGAAAAGCACTCTTTAGAAGACTTTGAACGGAAGAAACCTGAGTTTTCTGTATGAGACTCACCTTGTTAGTTTACGTGGTTGCAGAAGGACCTGACTTCTCACCTGCCTCTGCCACGGTGGGCACAAGCAGGGGCACAGATGTCCAGTGATGGCCCCAAGGCAGGTCACCAGGGGGCAAAGTCTCCTGTCTCAATGTCATTCTGACCTTCTTAGTTGCACGGAGAGGGATTTTGCTCACCACAAAACCCAAGCACGTACTTTTCTTGTGAAGCTCCTGTGCAGATGGAATTTGTAACGAGACTTCCATAATAGAATCTGAAGTTATTAATTACCAATTATAGTTTGGTCTTAGACTCACTCCAGCATGTGAGTGAGGGAGATAGGTCTGAGGATCTGGCTTGTTCAATTTAAAAAGCAGAAGAAATTTAATTTGTTTAAATCAGATTTCTCCCAGGGAAAAGCCACAGACAAGCTCATCAACGCAAGTTCATTTTTCAAAAAGTGCGTTTGTTCAATGGAGAATGACTTCACTCAGGATGCAAGTGCATGCCCAATATAGAACTTTCACAGCCCCATGCACCTCTGAGCTGCCTTCTGAGTTCATTTCCAACTGCATTGTGCTTAGAGTATCAAGGAGTTCTGTTTCACTGTACTAAACTTATTTCTTCCACAAGAATCGTGCTTTCTTATACAGTACATTTTGTAAACTGACTTTTTCATAGTTTTGTCCAATAACACCAATCATAATTACAATGAAGAATACTATGGCAAAAAATAGTGATGGAACTGACCTTACCTCACTCGTTCAGTTTTCCCAAAAATGTGTCCAAGGAACTATACTGAGAAGTCACTGGTCCCTCTCCTGCCTCTCTTGCCTAGTGAGTGACCTTCAGAAGGGGCTGTGATGTATTCATCTATGTAGCCCAAAAGCTTTCCATGGGTCTTGCCATCTATCTAGAAAGAGCTATTAAATATCTACAGAATGCAAGACTTTCTAGAAGTCAAGTTGAACTTCCCAAGCAATGTCAAATTCAGAGTAATACGATATCAGACATTTTATTACTATCCCAAAAGCAGTTATTTATAAAATTTGGAAGAAGCATACTATGTTTAATATGCTCTTTCATGCTTTTTAGGTGATTTTTTGCCTTGCAAGATAAACCATAGAGTAAATTGAAAAGAATGTCATTAATAATCAAGAGATGAAGTCGTTATGGGAAAAGCAGTGTAAATTCTCAGGCTGTGTCTGGAAGATTGGATTGCCACTCTTATCAAATGAGTGTACATACAGGCAAACTCTTTCATTCAGTGTATGTTAAGTGAGCATCTCCAAGGCACAGAGGTAGATAAAGCACACTGTGTAATCTCGGGAAGGTCAATGTGTAGTTACCACCTGTGTGAGTGACTTCACAGTGTCCAGTAAGTGCTGAAGTCCCAAAAGAGTAGCTGATGGTACAGCAACATCCAGTATGGTTCTGAGATACAAGTAAACGACTTCTCAGAAAAAGTAACAATAAGCAGTCTCAAGCCAGTGAAAGGATCACTTATTGAGCCATAATGGATATATTCAGTATATTTACTCCTGAAAGGCAGTGTGATCTAGCAAAAGATGAAAACAAAACAAACTGTTGAATGCAACTGGATTGATATGTTAGATTGCATTTAAGATTTTTGTTTCATTGCTTGAGAGAGAGTCTGGGTGAGACTTCACCCACCTCAGCCTCAACTGCTGAGGTTACAAGCCTGAATAATGGTGCCTAGATTGAGATTACATCCAAATGAATGTTTTCTTGGATAATCACATACATTCTCTGAATGCCTCTTTCTTCAAGGGGCAAATGTAGATAATAGGTTATATCTCACAAGATCACTGTGAAAATAAAAAAAGGGGGACAAATATGGAGGAAGCAAGACAACTACCACTTCTTTTGAAAACATGTTACCAACTGAATAAAAGACAAATTTTTTTTAAATTTTATTTAAGGAGAAAAGAAAAAAAAACAGAGAAAGGGTACAAGTTATACAGATTTACAGAAAAAAATGAACAGTAGGAAATCACTAGTTAATGGATTACATATTGTCATCTTAGAAATAATTGTTCAAGTCACAAAATTAAAGCTTGTAAAGTGGACATTCCATCAATGATACTGCAAACAGATCTGTTCAATGATCCAATAAAACTCCGTGATATCATTTTCTATCTTATACGCTTAAATATACATGCAGTTATATAGTTTAGAGCACTTTCTTTTCCTCTCTTTTGTACAATGACTATTACACATTTTGGGTTTCATTGCTCCCACGGTTCTTATTACTTTTTTGGAAGAGAGTAAAACCAAATGTGACATAGCAGAACAGAATCGGTCAAGTCAAAAGGGTGGACATAATAGATAATGTGAAAACATAATACAAGGTGATCAACAATGGTTACCATAATGCCTCCCGCTATCTCTAATAGAATTGCCTATATCGTTAGTTATAATACAATTGAACAAAACAGTAAAGAATAAAACCGACAAAACCAAAACATTGAAGATATTGTAGGTCTTCAAAAGTAGATAAAAGTCAACGAGAATAGGCGTTATAATGAATCTCATTATCTTCACAGCTGATGCCTAAACTTTCGAACCTGATACTATCCAGCAAAACAGAATAGGGGAACATCAGTTAAAAACCAGATGGTGAGAGTAATACAGGGCTTTAAGTCGAGGTAATGGAAAGTCAAAGTGGGTTACTATAATATATCCTGCTATTTTTTTTCTTTAATTAAAAGGATAAAAATTAAAAAGTAAATAATGGAGTGGAGATTGAGATAAAAGAGGGCATAACAACGAAACAGTGCAGATCAAAACATAACCATTTAAGCAGAATAGTGTTTCACCACCAGATAATCCTGACCTAAAAGTAGTTACCGTATTGTCTCTTTCCTTGAAATCCTTGAGTACAACTTCGTATACTGTAGCATTAAGTATATCAAAACAATATAAAAGACAAATTAAATGAATGCAAGCAAAACCCAAGCTATGAGAGTGGCATACTGTGTAAACTCTTTTTCCAAAGGACAAAATAGTTTTTCAGGAAATGCAGACAATAAAATATATGATTTACATATACAACATGTTGTATGTAACTTGTAACATGGGTAATATAATTTGACATTGAATACCTATTACTATTCATGTAATACATTAATAGTACACTATGTAATGTAATAGAGAAGTCACTTAGTAAATAATGCAATGATAGCATCAAATACAAGGAAATTAACTGCTAGTATTTATATAGCCCCTTGTGTATACCAGAAACTGAGCTTCACAACTTTATATGCATCTAATGTCATTTGATAGCCACAATATGAACCTATGAAATGGGTATTTTATTGTGCTTACTTAACACATCGAGATCCTAAAAGTATAATAATTAAGAGTACAACTCTAAAAGTCTATTAAGTGGCGAAGACCAGGTTAAATATTTAGCCATACCCTTAGCCAGAACAAAAACATCATAAATGACTTGTGAGAAAGGTGGAATTCTGACAGTATTTGAAAAAAATGCTCTCTCCCTTCCCTGTTGAACCCTTTCCTACCTCTTCCCTCTAGCCATGCCTTGGTTTCTAAGTGCTTTGTCAATATGCACATTCTAGAGATGTGATCTCAGCTTTTGAGCATATATTCTGTTCAGAATTTAATCTAGGACCCAAATATCAGAAATCATGATTAGTGTAGAACAAACGGAGCCCTCTAAAGAACTCAGAGTATTAATCCAAAGGGTATTAAAGCAACATTTTATTTTGTTTTGATTGTTGTGTGCTTGTCTTTTTGATACAGGGTGTTGTATTTTAGTTCCGGCTGGCCCTGAACTCTCTATGTGGTCCAGACTGGCTTCAAACTGTTCTCCTGGCTATAGTTCTAATAAAGTGTTAGTTACAAAGTAGAGGACCAGTATGGGTCCATCGCTAGCCTGTTGTCCTAAATATTGCTTTAAATATTACCTAGTCAATTGTGGCGTTAGGGCACTCTCCAGTTCTGGTGTTTCTCTTTCCTCACCTTCCCCTTAGCTAGGGATCCTAAGAAACAGACCAAGGTAGAACAGCTTTGTTGGTTTTGCAGTGAGCCTGGGAGCCCATCAGCTTCCCAAGTAGAACACAGTTGGTGTCTCCAACTCCCTTTATGCCTCTCCATGCCAACTGCTAGTGGGGCTCCTTATGCTACAGGATGGCCAGGCTCAGGGAAACCTCCAACACAGCACAGCACTTAAACTGGGGAAATGGAACTCCACTAATTGAGATCACTAATTAGGAAAATAAGCAATAAGTGGCTGAATTCCCGTGTGACTGTTTGTAACGTAGCAAAGATAACACTTTAATGGTACCGAAGTAGCCACATCTTACATCTATCTTGAACCTCGATTGCAAGTACTTTTGTCTCCAGGGCTTTCTTTTTTGTGTTTCCTGTCTTCATTCCAAATGCAGCTGCTGATATATACACTTGTAAGCACAGGCACACAAACTCAGAGCCAGTGTGAGCTGAAAGAAAATAAGATTTGTTGAATCTCAGTTTCAGGATGGGCCCTACTTAATTAAAATGGAAAAGGATATCAGAACTTTTTTCTGCTTGAAAAGTCTCTTCTTGGGGAGAAAGAAATGGTGGATCACTTGTGGATCAGAGGCAGGTGCACTGTGCATCTTGGGTAACTACCTAATTCTGCCACTAGTCCAAGGACCAGTCTTTGCGTCTTCTCTCTAGGACTGCTTAACACTCACCTTCCCTTAGTTTAAAGGACATTTTCGCATGGACCCTGGAGGTTCTTTGCTTGTGGGTGCACACTCGCCTCACTCGCTTCACGCTTGCCTCTCATTCTTTGGCCCCTTTCCTAACCACATAGGCACCTAGAGACAAATTCAAAGATGAGACTTTTAGTAGAAAGGCTTTCAAGGTATTTTCTTAGTCTAAAAGTGATTTTTCTCTACCAGAAATTACTTATGGATGGTCCTAAAACCTCAATCCTGGGAACCTTAGCAACACAACACCCATAATTAGGACAAGTTTCCTCCATTCATCTTGTTTAAGGGTGTTGTCACAAGAAAATGATACTCGGCATTCTTAAAGAGAACTGTAATAACTTGGGGACTTTCTCTGCCAATGTACCACAGACCACAAATTACTTCAGTTTCATGAGCAATTTGGGTACCTGTCCTTACTTGAACTAATATCTGACTGCTGGGTCTCTAACCTCACATTCAGAAATGTGGATTTACCCAATAGCATGAACAGAACAGATGCTACCCTGGTTCACATCTTCTAACGACATTTGGAGGACACACACTGTGCTCTGGCTTAGCTCTTAGCCGCAGGATAAAGCAGAACAAGTCACCTAAACTCTTTGTTTTCTCAGGGGGAAAGAAGAGCTGAAAATGTTAATTCAATTTCCCACAAAGGATATAAATTCAGATCACTTACAGGATCCAAGGACTGAGCCTGCGTTAATCTTCATTTTGTGCCTTTATCTTCAAAGAGGGCCATAGGAGAGGACACCAGGTGGCCATGTCACATGGACCCCAAATGACAGGGTCATAGTTTATGTGCTTTTCCCTTAGAGTCAGAGCATGCAGAATTAGTAGAAGTGCACAAAGAAAGTGGAGGTTGTAACAACCAGGCATAATCCTTACTCATCGAGTGGCATGATGCTTCCGACTCTTAACATGCACATTTTAAGAAGTGGCCCAAATCATTCTGGGAGTGGGCACTAAACTGCCCACATGAGCATGGAAATATATGGGGGTAGGAGCAACCTCTACGAGCACTGGTTTTCTGGGTGTGCAAACATCGTTCCTGAATCTGATCTAATGCTTAATCCATAAAATAGTCACATCTCACAATGAAGGTGACCCCTTTCCTTCCCTGTGGGAAGTTGGAAGAACATTCTTATTTAGCCATCTGTATCTATTTAATGAACATTTTCTGAAGCTCTCTGTGTGTCACACTATTAAATTAGTAGTTGGAATATTTTATTAGCTGTGTTTGTCGTCCCTGAACTAATAATGCAATAATGGTAGGTGATCTATAAAGGATTACATACAACCGAGGTTATGCCAAAACAGAATAGCGATGAATCACGCATTTTAACACTTATGGTGGACTTTCCCATTGCTTAACTGGATCACGAGAGTAACTCTGTGCCACAGATCACGCACACATCCTTATTCTATCTTATGAATATTTTCTTCATTTCCTGTCCACCCCACAACAATTACAAACATCTTTGCATTAATGGGAGACATTTTCGTGAAAGAAACAGTCATCCAGTCTCTTCCTTGTTGCTTTTCCAACTCAAACATGAGCAGGTGACCCAGTGACCAAAAGCCACAAAAACTGTAATTCAGTTTGGAGCAATAATGAAAGAGGAAGTTTCTTATTGAGACTGCCAGTTCCTGGGAACAGCACTGAAAACAGTCATGTTAGGGAGGAGCTGTTTCTTCACCAAGTGACACCTGGGACTCAGCTTTGGTTTTGTTCACTTAGATCAGGGAAATGTCATTGGTGCTAGTTGCCTAACTTTCCCAATGATCCCATGAGATTCCAAAATCATTTTAGTGAGCAAATTTTTAAGAGAAAATGCTTACATGGAAAAGTGGATTCTGAGATTCTAAATAGCTGAATATCTTATTCCCATGGTGCAACTCAAAGAACTCAACTTCACAATGTGGAGACATTTATCCAAGGTAAACAGGCTTCACCTCTTCCCTTTTATGTCAGTGTGACCCTGAAGAGAGTGACTAAACCACCTTACCCAAAACACAGTGTAATGATTGATATATTGTGTCAACTTGAGAAGTTTAGACATTTAACTGAGAGCCTCAGCAGGGAGCCAGGATACTTACTTTGTAAATATCTTCATCCTGTGCAAGAGGAGGGCACAGAGATTTTATGAGTGCTACACTCTGCTCTTGGGAGGCTTGTGTTCAATATGCCGGGTGGGAAAAGTGTCTTACTCTTTCCTTCCCCTCCATTGCTTTTGCTGCTGCCATGAAGTGTTGCCCCAATGCCATGTCATTCTGCCTTCTAGCCAGCTAATTATGGACTGAAACCTCCACAAACTGTAAGCTAAATACACCTTTCCTTCCTTCTTTTTGGGATCAGGTATTTTATCTCAGCAATGAAAGAAAAGTAGCCAAGACTTACAGGGACTGAGTGTTAATAATACTGCTTTCAGAAGTGTTACAGTATCACAGTGTAGATGGTACATTATAGTATAACCTTAAGAATGTTGTCGAGAGATGAACATTCAACCACAATTTGTGTTAAATTAATAAAAAACTAAGGAAATATGAGCATACGATGACATTTAACTCCTCATTTGCAGTAGTACTGCAGTAGAGTAGAGGGAAATGAATAAACAAAGAGCCCCTCTACCGGGAACCAGAATATTAGGGAACCCCTGCTCTGTAAGATCTTTTCATGAAGCAGATTTATCTAGTGATTATCCCACTGGCAAGAGTCAGTACAAGTGCAGTTTTGAAAACTATCACAGATACACACACAACTGCATACATGTGCATGTGCACACACACACACACACACACATGCAAATACATATACCCCTAGAGTTGGAAAATTCAAGGATCCTTTTAAACCTTCACTTCAATATAAGGAACCCAGCATCTTTGCTATTTATGTGTGAAGAGAGAAATCTTTACTGTCATTCTTGATGTGCACAGCTATAGTTATCTTAAAACACAGTGAGATGTTTCCCATCTAAACCTAAAAATATATCAGTCCAAAGCAATGGACAATTTGTACACAGTTCAGTTAGGCTTTGTCAAGTGAATTATTCTTGCATCATCTGAGTATTTTTATAAGTGGAACTTTCTTATGTTTTTTCTGTGTATAACAGAAGCTCAGTCTCAGTGTGGCCCTATTGGATGTAACCGGAGGCCCCACAAAGGAGTCATTTTATTTAGGTCTGAAAATTAAAAAACTGAGTAAAATAAGTGAGCTCTAAATAAAGTTATGGCTACAAAGTCAAGCTCACTTAGATCTGTGTTTTTATGCAGGTTAATGTGCTTTAAAACTTCGGCTTTGCTTTGTAATGCCCAATAAGTCTTTCTCGAATTGCAAGCCTCTCAATTGCTCTGAGTAGCTGGGTAGACTTATGATTTATGTCCTACCAGCTTCCCTCCTAGACTAAAGGAGGCTTCCCACGAAGATGCAAGTATGCATATAGTTTTGGAAACAGTTGGAGGTGTAAATATCAATGTAATGACAAAATACCCACAGGAAAGTTAAAACATCAATAAAAAAGAAAAAAGAAAATGCATGAAGAAACGAGGTGATAACCACAGTCAGGAAGAAATTTAAAATGTATTCAGGACTCCCTAGCAGCCAAGATACAAAGGGAAAGAGTTGATGTAGAAGAGAGGTGAATGGAGAATTAACCATAACCCATCTAGCAGGCTGCCTGTCGCGTGCTGCAACCTCTTTTGCAGAGGCAGACAATCAGCAGGACCGAGCTTGGTTTCCACCTCTCTTCTTTTTTTTTTTTTTTTTTTTTTTTTTTTTTTTTTTTGTCTTTTTCTTTTTTTATCGGTACCGGGGATCGAACTCACGACTGCCTGCTTACAAAGCAGGTGCTTATGCCGCTGAGCTAAATCCCCAGCCCCTCCACCTCTCTTCTGAGGATAACATGACAGCCCGTATGTTATCTCTCAATAAAATTTTAAAAAGAAATGGGAATTCAACTCCCTCAAGTCAATAACACCTGAGTGTTATTGAGAAAATCACCTGATACCTCAAAGTAGCATTTTGTTTATTTTGAAAATACTGGCTAACAATAAAACTCTGATGTATTCTTACCAGATTCCTCTTGGATAATGTACTAGACTATACTTTATCATATGTAAGCTGTTATGTGGATTTTAACTGATTTTATAGTTTTTGCCACAGCATGGATGGAGGCTTGCACAAAAGGAGCATAACGGCCAAAAATATTATTGGTCATCGTTTTTCTCAAAAATTTAATTCAACTTTTACCCTCAGCATACTCAAGAAAGCCCAAACTTCATGAAATCCCAGGGTTAAATATGCTCCTGTGCTCTCTGTGGCTGTCACCTGCCTTTGGGAGATTTGTTTCCGCAGGTAAGCTCCAGAGCTCTGGTCAGCATGGGTAAGATGCAGTGGGTGAAATGGAGAGGAAGAAGAAGAGCCACAGGGTGCCTGCCCCTGGCCTCCTGTGCCCAGCCCTGTCACCCCATGTACCCCCTCTTCCTGCACTCCAATGAGCTGTTACAAGTTAAGTTGCAATTTTTAAAGAAGCACTGGGGCATTTCTTAATTGGATTTCAGTATCTTAATATTCTAGGAAGAAGGAGAATTTGAAATTCCATACTGTTTTTCAGAGTACGGAGGTACTTGCATAAGCTCAGCCTCTGCTAAAGAAGAGGCAAGGGGGGGTGGGGTGTATTCTATAAGCAACTATTTTGATCCTAACATTTATTATTTATTTACTTAACAAAAGCACTGTACATGGCACTGTAATTGATGGTATCATTTGATGTTGTCAAGAGCCCTATCAGATGGTAGTTATGATCTTCAATCTACATACCTGTAAACTGACTCACACAGCCAAAATTCAAGCCTTCGATTAAAGATCACTTGTTGTGTGGAGATTTTCTTTACTCCCTACCTAACATGGCAGCCCTAAGTGATGCCCGATCAGATAATCCCATTTACTTGTTTCATAGCATTTATTAGAACCTGTATTTGTTAATGGCTTATTTATTGTTGTTCATTTCCTTCACAAGAATGTATCCTACAGAGACAAGAATCACACCTGTCTCATTCACCTGCATTTTTAGTATCTAGCACTACAACAATTTTTTAATAAATAAATAAATGGTCTTCAAAAGAAAATACTCTTTTCACTATCATGCATTAATTTTTATTTTCTTTTTAGATGCATAAAGCAAACATTAAGTGAATTATGAATGTCTGTGTTGTACTAGGAAGATTTTATTTCAAATTGAATGCGTAAGAATAAAATCATTTCCTATGGATCACCAAAGACACTTTTAATATATTCTAATATGAAAGATAGCATTGGAATTTATGTGAGAGCTTCAGGATATTTAGCCTTGGGAACCTTGAAGTCTTTTAGCTCTATTTGATCCAAAGCACGACTGAAATCTTAAGAGAAAATGAATTGTGCCAATAAATATTTACTTTCATCTTCTTTTCTGTGAGCCTACAGAGTCACTTCTAAACTGTCTTAAGGATGGAAATTACATGATCACTTGAATGGCTCTTTGAATATGTAACCAAAGGAAAACCTTTCTAAGGCAAAATGCTCATTTTTCTACTATACGTTACCATGTATAAATTACCTTGAATTACTCCAGATGTAGGAATTGATTTTAAGAAACTCAGATGCTTAAGTTAAAAAAAGTTAAATGAACTCATCTAATACCTGTATATGCCAGTGAGAAAACACCTCTTCCTCCCTGTATCATTCGGTGGCATACACCATTTCCTCTAGATAATTCCCACTCTAGTTCATGATAAAATTTACACGATATCCTCCAGAAAAAGTCTTCTCCTCTTCTCCTTCCCACACTGTATATGGTCTTCACCCTGGGCTGTGTCCCCAGTCCTCATTATCATTTTATTTTTTTTTAAATCCTGAGACAGGATTCATTGAATTGCTGGGATTGCAGGATCCTCCCACCTGGCCACTCATTCCACAAATCATATGTTATTGCCACTATCTGCTTAACTAGCTTAATTATTTAAGACACCTACAGCAACACCTGCATTTATTCATGTCTGTGTTTCATTACCAGATAAATAACCAAGCTTTATTAAATAGTTGTTACAGATTAATGAACGAGCAAATAGAATCTAGTTTCTTTATTGGAGAATGAGGGGTGACCAATGAGTACAGACAGAACTTTTCTCACAAGAGGTTCCCTGGCAAGTCTCTGGGGTGGCTCTGATTTCTATTCCCTACTGCTGCCTGGATCCTGAGTTTAAAACAAGTCATCAGGGGGTAACAGGAAGATGTGGACTGGCAAATGCAAGTGAGTAGAGCATTGTGGAGGATTTTTCTTTGGCAGACAAACATGTGTTGATTGATTCTAGGCAGTATGGTAAATCTTCAGGAGCTGTTAACCAAGGGAAATTTGGAAAAACTGTAGAGGAGTTTGTAAAGCTGCTGCCAATGTTATCACAGTGGAGCATTTTGAGAAATGTACTTTTTTAATACGTTACACTCATTTTGCAGATGTATATACCCCCTTCCCCTGCATACCTTACCTTAAAATCTGCCTCTGTTTCCTACCATCTCTATGGAGGAAGCTCATTTCAGTGTGACCTTTGTGACTTCAACTTTTACAAAGTACTCTGTGAGTAATTACAGAAAAAATAATGAAGGCTGACTAAGAAATGAGAATGTTTAGAAAATCACAGAAACAGTAGATTATTTACAACAATTTTTAAATTTTCAATGAAAAAGATAAATTCCATAACATTAACAGGGGACATGGATAAGAATCATTCCTAAGGTTGAAGTAGTGTTATTTTTTCCTCTATCAACATCCCCCCCAAAGCCTCAAGAGGTCAGAGGGGTGACTTTTTGGGGGTGACTGGGTCATTGGTGTGTGATACTGGATCATGGGTGTGATACTGGTTTAATTCACTGACTGATCTAGCAAATTTGTGGGCAAAGGCATTACTGAAGAGAGAAGCTCCATCCTTGGTGTGGGTGGCACCAACTAACAGGCCTGTAACCTGTCTGGGTCCTTGCTTTCTGCCTACCCTGCCATGGACTGTTTCTCCTCCACCATACCACCCTGCCTTGGAGGCAGCCAACTGTGGATTGAAACCTCCACAAACTGTGTGCTAAAATAAATCTCTCCTTTAATTTATGGGCACTGAATATCTTATCTCAGTAACAAGAAAGTAACTAAGACAAGTAGAAACATCAAATAACCAAGAAAATGAAACAAAGAATTATTTCCCAAGAGCCTCACTTGGCTAATAATTTAACTAGTTTTTTTCTAGGAATTGAAAATGAAAATTAGCAATACATGTATGCATACATACATATTTTAGTGTTTATATAAATTGATATAACATCCTACAACACAGTATAATTCTTGGCATTGGATATATGATATTTGGTCTATGGTTGTTAAGTTCTGAAACTATACTTTCTCTAGGTAATTTTAAAAGTAAATTTAACTATATCACACTCCAGGCTTTACTAATTGTACAGTAATTATTTGTTAAGTGATACATGACTAAATGAATGTTGATATGAGATATTACCTTTACCAACCAAATCTTCTAGTTTCTCCTTCCATTCTTTTGCCCATATGTGGCTAACTACCCATATACAAGGCTTTTAATCAGCCTTACGTGGATTATGCCTATGCAACCTTACGCATGCTACAGTTACTTAGATGCCTATCCTAATTCTTTCTCTATGGGGGTAACTTCTACCATCTATCCACACCCAATTCATGCATGCACCACTGTATCACTTTCTCTGGGGAACTTTGCTTTATGCCACACATGGAACGATGCCTCAACTTCCTATCACTCACTGCACCCAGGATGTAGATATATCTTACTTTGTTTCATTGATGCTTTTTCAAAGGTCATCCACTATAGTGTTCCCAATTTTCCTATTGAAAATAATTCTGCAATGAACTTGATTACAAACACACAATTGCATATTTATATCAAGTTTTCCAGAATGACTTAAATACCATTAAAAGCATGAGTGCTTAAAATAAATCACATGTGATAATATGTGGGACTATTTATGTGCATGTTTGCTTCTTTGTTATTTCAAAGACTATAATCTAAAATCAAACATGCTATTCTGTTTTAAAGAAAATTTTGCATTTGAAATAGAAAATTTTGCATGAAATTCTTCATGTCTATGGTTAATTTCTCATTGAATTCTTAATTGTGTGTATTTTCACTTTTTAATACTTGTTTCTATTTTTATTAGTGCTTTGATTTTCACATTGTGTTTCTGTATGTAGACCTTTTCACACTATTTTAAAATTCTTGTTGGATGATTATTTTTATTATTACTTGTCATGACATTAAATTTTTAAGTTATACATTGTGCTCCGAATCAATTTCAGATCTGCAGAATAGTTATTGGAGTGTTTTATAACTATTATTATCTATATACTGATCTGTAATACTTTTGCATTTTTGATATTAATGTTTATTATGATCATTTCAGTATTCAATATTCTACAGTTCATACATTTTTGCTAATTTAACTTTCTTTTGGAATATCTATTATGTCTATATTGGAATAAACTTTTCTTTATCTGCATCCCTGGTTTGCTTATATTTGATCTGTAATTTATAGTATTAAATACATTTTACCATCCAATTTCTTATATGTGCACTTATGCATATTTGTGTAACTTATTATGTATATGAACACAAGTCAAGCACTATTGTGATTTAGTACTGAATGATTACATCTGTGGAGTCACATGAAGGAAGTTTTGCTTCCTTTCTGTCACTTCTACTTTATGGAATCATTTGTTTCATTGGTGGTTATACTATTCTTGCACATTTAAGGTATTTCTTGAACAACAAGAATCATTGGTTGCATATGATTACTGATGCCACTTCACATTAAAAACGTCTCTCATGTGTTCCTCCATTCTCTTAGTGTTTATTAGTTGCCTCCTATGTGAAGCACAGGATTCTTTGTGGATCTAGTGTCCTGCTAATGTTTTATTGCCATGGATTCCACATCAGTAGGGAATAATTACTATTTTCCCTGAGTTCTGGGCCTTCCATTCTATGGCCTGCACATATTTATTTTCCTAAAACCCTCTTCCAAAGGTTTTATTTCAGCATGTGACTTCTTTTAATCATCAACATGTTCATGTAAATTTTCATCTTCCTTGAATTTCCATAGCTGTACTAAATTTAGTTTCAATTTTGACTACTGTAAATTATTGTTTTAAAAAGCCAAACACTGCTTTGCCTACAGTTCCTTGTCTTAACCTGGATTTCTTTGAGGATACTTTAGTAGTTTTTCCTATTCTCTTCCCCAAGGCATCATCAGTGCCAAAAGAGGATGATGCATCTGCCCATAGCCACTGCATGTGGGTGACCTGATGCCCACGGACTCAGCCCTCATGGGCGGTGAATGAGAATCAGAGCTAGCCTGTCACTGCCTGCTGTTTGCACTAAGTACTCAGATGGGGTGTACACCGCACCTCCAAAGCCCAGGGATCCCACAGGAATACCTGCTCACTAACTTGTCTAAAATCATGTCTTGAAAACCTACTTGTCAAGCTTGTGTCTCAAACTAAGGTGAACTTTGTGCCCACTTAAAGATTTGTATCTTTCTCTATGGCAGAAAAAACTGGCTTCTGTGTTATATTTTTCTGTTCTATAAGCACATTTGTTATCTTATGTAATCATCCTGATCCTCAGGATAAGGTGCCTTCCTTTACATAGTAAGTTGCCTCCAATACATAGTGAATGTTGTTTTCTTAACATTGCTCTCTATTTGCTTGTGCTATCTTCCAGGTCTCCTCTTTAAATTTATACTGAAGGGCTGTATTTTGACAGTTTTGCTCAGGTGCACAAACACTGTATAGTATGAGCCAACCATGTATCTCCAGTGGCAAATTAGAGCCAGCTACACCAGCAAGTAGTGCCACAACTTGGTGTCATTAACACAAAACCTTGCCTCTACCTGAAGTAGTCTTCTTTCTCCTATTTATTGAACACAGATAATTCATGCTTCTGTTCTCAGCTCAGAAGTTACACCTCAGAGAACTCATCTTCATCACTTGAACCAAATTAGCCTCCATATTATGGGCGCTAATAGTAGGGTTTGTTGAGAGATGAAAATGGTTAAACCATCTCTTAGTAAAGGGATATTTGACAGTCATTTGGATGACTGGAATGCAATGGCACCTCAGTTCACAGACTTAGTTCTTTCCACAATTTTAGTCACAGAAATTGTTCCATGATTCTGGTCCCAAATGAATTTCAAGCATACGCAAACAGAATCATGGAACGAATTCTGGAACGAGAACAGTGGAAAGAATTAACTTCATGAACCAAAGTACCCCTGTGCAAGCCACAGCCACACAGAATATGGGTTCAGTTGTCTCTCCCTACCTTATATAATTTCCCAAGATTTATTACAATTCCTATGTTAATTTTTGTATGATTTTTAATATTGTATGTCTCACTAGCTATCAGTTCAAAAGTCCAATCTGTTTATTCACCGTCATCATTTCTTCTCACCTAATGCAATGTCCAGTACCCAAAAGATAATAAATTTCAGTCAAAGACAATATGGATAAATTAAGAAACAACAACATCATTCTGGATATCAAAATTTGGTTAGCTCATTTTCCAGTTCTTGTAGATGATGGCTCACAAGCTTTTAAAGGCAAATACTGATCAATGTACACACCAAGGATATCATCATATAAGTGATGAAGAATTGTGATGCGCACAGCCAATACTAAAAAGATGTAAAAAAGTGTCCTCTGTGGTGCTGAGACAAACACCATCCAGACCAACCATGCATCTGAGGAAGCACCTGTCAGTCACAGTACCAGAAAATTCATCTGTGCAGCAAAAGTTTCAAATGCAGAAATAGGGGAAAGCACTCAATTCTTACCGATGTTTTCAGGCTAGTTAAAGAGTATTGGACATTTTCACATTAAGCCTCTTCATCACAAGAGTGTCAGAGTGATTTTTAAGGTGATTGGAAAAGTACACTATTGTTTTTCCCCTGCTTAGGAACATCTTGATGTAGAATGTAACACTCTGAAACTACTTGAAGAGAATTAACCTCTTAAATTTCTTGTTGTTATAAAAAAAATTCAATTCATTCCATGTTTTTAGGTTTTGTTTTTTATTGGTGAAACCTGCACAAGTAAATCTGCTTTTTCAATTTACATGTTTTAAAACAAATTTAACATATTGTCAAATAAATGTGTCCCAGCTCAAGGATACTGAACTATTTCCATTGGTAAATGTGTGAAATATATTTATGTGCTGGTAACCTGAAAAAAATATTTCACATTATCCGTAAAGGTCTGTGAATGTCAAATGCTTTGCAATATCTTCCGGAAGGAAATAGTCTGAAGAAGTCTTTATTTTGTTCTCAAAAAAGTTTTCATTTTCCCTCCCCTGGAAAATAGTTGAATGTTCAGTTTATATGTTCTGAGTCTCAGGCCTTTCTCCCTGGAGCTCTTTCCCTTTCCAGACAACATTTCAAACTGCCTTTATTATCTCTTCAGCTTGAACACTGCAATTCCCATAGAAAGTGTTATTTTGCCCACAATGCCAAATTGCACGCCCCTTGAAAAGATCACTTCTCATTTGCATTTTACTTTAACACTTCTAAAAAATTAATTGCTTCCTTTCTGAGATTAACAAGCTTCTATCAAAGACAGGGATTTTTCAAAAGGGAAGAAAAAGTTCATTGTCATATCATTAATCAATTTACTATTAGAAAACAATAAATGAGCGTGAAACACTATCTGAAAAATCAGAATGGGCCGACGCTATGGCCTATGACTTCCACTTCAAAGAACTCCTACTCTCGTTTCTTTAATTTCTATCAAAAAAGTATTTGATGAATTTATATATGATGTTAAATTGACTTACTGAAATATCAGGCCAGACGGTAATTTCAGAAAGAAGTAAACAGTCCCAAAGGCACATTATGATTTATTTAGTGTGTTAATTAGAGTTCCTAGTCACAGAGCTAAATAGGGCAAATTTATGCAAATGGTTATTAAACAGCTCTCTGAAATAGTGGGAGGCCAGATTTTGGTAAATAGTCAGGAACCATAGCCAAAATCACAACACAGAACTGGTGTGCTTAGCAATCCTGCCCTCTCCCAGAGGGAGCATGTGTGTATACTCACATTCTAAACTCAGTCACTGGACGCTAGGCAGTTGCTACTGGGATCACTACCATTGCCAGCCTAGAAAAGCTGTAGATGGCAAATGTACTCATCCTAACTGAAATGGTTTTCTCTGGTGTCTGATTTTTTGCATCCTTAGCAGGGCATGCAAAATCCTAATGGGCTGAAATTATCATAATTTGGCTCATATATCAGGATTACAAGCAAAACTACTAAAAAGCTGGAAGGTACCCCTATGGAATTTTCATGTTCTACCATGGGAGGCAAGTTCTTCCCAACAGCTTAGGAGTGTCATAACATCTCTGATGGTTTAGATCTAGAATCTCCCCTATAAGTTTCATATATTCAGAGGTGGGGCTCTTAGAAAATGGTTGGATCCTAGGTTGTTATGTTCATCAGTGGATTCTTCCGTCTTGAGTTCACAGTTAAATATGCTGATGGGCTGATCAGAAGAGATGGGTCATTGGGGGCATGACCTGAAAGTAATCGTCTCCCTCCCCAGCTCCTTCCTCTTCCTGTTTCCTGATTGCAATGATGTAAGTAGCTCTATTCTCCTCCAGGCCCTTCCACCCCATCCTTCTACTTTGAAGTTAGTTGACTATGGTCTAAATCCTTTAAAAACCATGAGCCAAAATAAACCACTCCTTTTTTAACTTGTGGCTGTTAGGTATTTTATCTCAGTGATGAAAACCAAGACAACTTATAAAGAGGATGTTAAGTATGACTGCATATTAACACTGTATATATATTAAGAAATATTCTCTTCATTTGCCCCATGATCCCACTCTTCTCTCTGCCAGTTTATCTGTCTTCTACTGACCCTTCCTCTCCAAATTCGTCTCATCTGTAAAAAGCTTATAAAAATAAGGGATGATATATAAGGAAATTCCTCCATATTCTTAATCAAGAAAGCTTACCTCAGAAGGCTCCTGGGTCCCTGAATGCATTTGCATCCTTCTGTTCTTATTGCTAAAGAACTACCTCAGAGATCCCAATACAACTGTAGATAGAAGGCTACTTAAGACCTGAGTGTCCTAGTGTGAAGGCTGCAGATGATATCAGCACAGAATACTTACACGGATGAGCACACGTTAATGTTTATATGTGAATGTCCCTCAGAGTCCCCTGCTTTCATAAGAGGAACACTGGGTAGGGGACTGGATAGTGGGAGCCCAGAGATGACTCACTGTTGGAGGTGGGGTCTGATGGGAGGATGTGGGTGACCTGGGTGCAGGATGCAGAAGAGTTTTCCTCCCTTCTGATACCTCCCCTAATCTCTCTGCTCCCTGGATACTATGTCATGCACAGCTCTCCTCCTCTATGCCTACCATCAGTGCTGTCCTATCTTGGAGTCCACCAATGATGGACTGAAACTGAGCCAAAGTAAATGTCTCCTTCCTTAAGGTGAGGGTGTGCAGTATTGTCTTAGTGAGGAGAAAGTGACTAAGTCACTGTGCAAGGGAAAGGAAAGCCAGGAATCATGCGAAGACACAGGGATAGAAAATAATCTTGTGTGGGGAGAATTCCCTTTTCAATGCACAAAAGTTAAAGATCTCTAGAAGATGTCAAGATGAAAAATGGCTATGAGCACCAGGGAACCAAAGGAGATCTCTACAGAAATGTCCAGCTCCTCATGTACTGTTCTGGTTATTTATTTTAAAAATGAATTTCCTGATCAGTTGCAGCACTCATGAGCAAACTCTGAGCATAAGCAGAGCTCTGTCCTCCTGGTCCTCATCTCTCCTCTCTCTCACTTTCTTCTCCAGCTCTTACATAATCCATTGAGCCTTTAACTTGATACATAATCATTCTCCCTGCCACAATGTTGTGCACTGAGCCTTTCCACCATCCTCTGTAGCACAGTCAGCCCCTTCTTACCCAGCTCCTGATGTGCCCATCCCTACTCTAGATGAGGTTGCTCCATAACCCTAAGAGCTGGGTGTGCACACAACAGGTATGGGGTGGGGCGTGACTTTCAGCTCTTCAAACTATGTCAAGATTATTTTTTTCCAGAGCCCTTCTGAAATTCCATTGAGGCTGCAATTGCAGGAGCCCAGGGGCACTGACTGGTGGATTAAGGAACTAACATAGGATGCATGTCCTGTTTGACGGAGCAGACAAACCAGGAAATTGAAGTTCATCCAGCAACCGGGTGCAAAGTGAGCCACCAACAACTATGGCAGTGGTGCTGGATCAGCAGCTTAAGGACAGGCATTTGGCCTTCTCCAGCTTCAGATATGGAAATGACACAGAAGAAAAATGTCAGGAAAGCAAGCTTGATGGTAAGAATATCTGGTGAACACCTGAATCAAAACCTTTACACATTTCCTTTCCCATCCAAACACATGCCATGTAGGATTAAAACTAAGCACAAATTAAGTTACATGTGGCAAATCTTCACAACTAGGAGACAGAGCAGAGCAGAGTGACAGTTCTTCCTTCAGTGCTGGAGATTGAATCCTGTACCTTTGTGCAGAACTATACCTTCCTCCTCTTTTTAAAATTTACTGGATTTTTTTTTGACAGGGTCTTACTAAGACACTAAGTTGCCCAGGCTGGTCTTGAATTTGTGATCCTTGTGCCTCAGCCTCCCAGAGTTCTGGGATCACAGGTGTATACCACCATACCTGGCCGAGATAGTACATATTTAATAGAAGACATAAGATTGTTAAGGTCATACCTATAGAAGCATGCATTGAAAGAGTAGAAAGGTTGCAATTTTGAAAAATGAGCGAGAAAAAGAGAACAGGAGACAGAAAAAACCACAACACTGATTATATATGAATTGGAAGTACAATAAAAGAATACCATTTAAAACTGACAAAGCAGATTGTGAAAGGTAAAAGAAGAATAAAGGCAATAAATATAAAGCATAAATATAAAGCAAAAATATTCATTTTTATACACAAAGCATAAATATAAAGCATAAATATTAAGGTGACCTCTAAAACAAAAATACAGAAAGAGGAGAGAGACAGAGACACAGAGAACAGACATTGTACACAAAGAAAAACTAAATAGATTGCAAAGTAAAATGCATTCCAACAACATTGGTAAGACAGAATGACCTTGCTTTAGCTACAAAGAAAGTAATTTCATATCCCCCTAAAAAGTTACACTATCTTTATTTACAATTGCAAAATAGACATTAACTATTTGCACAAATGTTAAAAATCAGTACAAATAAAAATGGAATCTTATGTGATTTTCAGAATAAGGAAAGTTTCATAAATTACTGGACGGCAGATTCCCAACATGTGTTTTTGCAAAATGGTATATGAAGAATGCTACCACTTCTGTAAAAATGAGTATAAATTTTAAAAATATTCATTTTTATACACAAAGTAACAGACTGCCACCGATATAGTGGGGTTTATGTGTGTTTTATCCCATCTGAGTCATGCTGGGGCCGGATGTCCAGGCTCACCTGAGCCTGGGACCCTGCTCAGGGGTTTGTAAGGTTTCATGAGAGGTGTCAGCTGGACTCTGCCCTCTTTGGAGCTTCCGGGTTCCTTGTGGTTATAGGCATTGCTCCTTGAAGCTGGAAGACCCAGGCCCCTCATTTCTCGTTGCTTCTTGATGAGGCCGTATCCTGTACTAAAGGACCCCGCAGTCCCACGCCACCTGGCTCTGGCACGAGTCTCATCACAATATGGTCAGTGTGCTGGGAATCTTTCTGACTTACTGATTGTCTCTTCCTGGGTTTATATAATGCAATCAGAGGAGTGACATCCCCCTCACCGATAACATGTTTATTGACTAGAAACAAGTCAAAAATGCCAGGGGAGGCTTCAGCCTGTGGTCACTTGGTGTTGTCATCTGGGGCCTGGATCTAGATGATGGTCATGGAGGGAGTGTGTGGCTGGGAAATGCACAGCCATCTGGCAGGAGAGAGATAGCACAGGGTAGGGTCTCAGCAGCCCTTCAAGCTACCACTTCTGATGCCCAATTTGCTCCCAGCTGCCCACCACTTACAAACTCACTACCTCCAAGTTGCACAGTGGGCTGAAATCTGAGATTTTAGCATCTGTACATTTGCAGAATATTTGGGATCCAAACTACAGCAGAGGCATCTTCTGCACTAAAACCCACAGTCTCCAGAAGTTTAATAAAGTAATCAAAGCAAGAAGCCCACAAAGGCTAGGAGTCTAACCAGATCAAATGGTGACCAGGGAGTAGAGAATCACTAAACAAACAAGCAAACAAAAACAATCTCTAAACACTTAAGGGACAGAATGTTGTGAAATTCTAGGCTGAAGGTGTGACTCAACAATAGTGTTTGCCTAGCACTCATGAGACACTTGGTTCCATTGTCAGCACTCTAAAATAGAAGAAAAAGAGGGAAGGGGAGAAGGGAAGAGGGTGAGTTGGGGAGGGGAGAGGCAGAGGAAGATATATGAATTCAATAACAAAAAATATGAAACTCTGAGCAACTGATATTTTAGAGAAAAAGTAAATGGTAATGTGATTTTAATAAAGCATTATTCCTAAAAGCATAAGGAGAGATTTTCATTATAAAAAGATGTGGGTAAGAAAAATAATCGATTGAAGTCTTTAGAAATCAATATTGTATATGTAAAATAAATAAATGTGTAGATAATTGGACCCAATGCTGAATAAAAAGGTCTCAAATCTTGGGACTGTATTATCAATCAAGAAGAAAAATAAGATTCTCCTGAAACATAGTGTAGCAGGACTAAAAGAAATTACAAGGAGAGTTATGAAAGCAACACAGATCCTGAAACTTCAACCTATTCCAGACTGTACAGTAAGATGACAGACAGAGATGAAGAAAAGAAAGAAAGAGAGAGAGACAGGGAGAGAGAGAGACAGAAACAGAGAGAGAAAGGCAGAGAGAGAGAAGTCAGGGAGCATAAAAAGGAATTGCGACGGTATTGCTATGTCAAAAAGAAATTCCCAAAAGAGTCAAAGGTCATTAATTTTCAGAAGGAAACAACACACCCATTCAAAAGGATGAGTACTAAAAGTTTTTGCAACATGCACCTGTTATTTAAGGACACAAATGATATTTAGAAATCCCTAATCCTTGGTGGAACATCCTTTAAAAATGAATACCATCAATGCAGACTTATTAGCACTAAATAATGGATGTGTAATAATTTCAATCACATAAAAATGTGATTTTGACCTAGAATTTCATCTTTATCAAATTATAAAACAATTGTGCAGAGAAAGGACGTTATTGGACAATCAACAACACAGAAAATGTTCCATTTAAGGAACGCTACTTATGAAAGACCTCCTTGAGGATGCTCCACACACAAAGTAGGGCGAAGCAGGTGAGAAAATGGAAGATTTAGAATAAAACAAACAGTGTATTCACAGGCTACTCATTATTTAAGTTCATTTTCAGTACAAGTGATGATTGATACATGACGTTAAAATTTTAATAATATTCAGACA